CCCTCTCAGCAGCTGGCCAGCGGACCCCCACAGCAGTTCGCACTCTCCAACTCGGCGGCCATCCGGGCCGAGATCCAGCGATTCGAGTCCGTGCATCCCAATATCTACGCCATCTATGACCTGATCGAGCGCATCGAGGATTTGGCGCTGCAGAACCAGATCCGGGAGCACGTCATCTCCATAGAGGGTGAGCGGATCCGGGGGCTGCGGTAGCCAGGGCGCGGTGGCCTCTCCAGAGCTGGCCAAGGGTGCACTGCCCGGACGGCCACGCTCTCCCTGTCGGGGGTCTTTGCTCGCCTGAGATCCGGGCCATGCGGTCTGCTGATTGGCGCTGTAGAGCGGGCTAGCAGCCTTCTCCATATCTCGTCCAGGGATACTTTGGGGCCAGGGGACACGTTTTCTGCTCTTAGTGTTCCAGGGCGCGAAGGTGATATAGCCCTGGGGGGCTGGGCCAGATCTGGTCTGGCCAGGGAGGGTGGGCGCGGTGGCGTGCCTTGGCGGGCGGGGAAGTGGGGCGGCGACCGGGGAGGCATTTCGGCCGCTGCCCAGCCTCTGCGCCGCAATGGGGCGGGGGCTTAATGCTCCGGTTAGTGGATGGCAGTCTTCCTGGGCCTAGCGCCGGTGGGCCTTAGAAGATGAGGGTGGCGCTCGTGGCGGCGTCCTCTTTCGACGTATACCCCCCACGCTGCTGAGGGCCGCGCCTGGCGTTGCGATAGCTGGAGAGGCACTGGACTGTCCATCCGCGCCTTTGCCTGGTACAGTGCGCGCCGGCCATTCGTGGCTGCTAACTCTGGGGGCAGGCGCAGGCCTGCAGGGGGCTGACTGACCTCCAGGGATGCCTCCCCACTGTTCTTTCTTTGGTCTCTTGGCTGCTGGCCTTTAAGGTGCCGGGTGCCATAGGACATGTGGGCACACTGATTGCAGAAATCCCCACTGATGTGGTAAGGGCCACTCGTAGTCACAGGCACCAGTGGCATGGTGACCTTCAAGTGCTCACAGACAGATGGGCCTTGCCTTGGGCCATCTGCTTCCTCCTTCACTTACCTGAGAAGGGGGATGCCCACCAGCAAGTGGGGGTTCTGTCTTAGTGGAAATGCAGCAAAAGCCAAGTGACATGGCTCTTCCAGATGACATAGAATTGTGGGGCCTGTCCACTTCTGGGGCCTTATAGTTAGGGCCTCACTCTCACCTCCTTGTGTGAGGCTCTCTGAGTTTCTGCACCTGAACATTACATTCTGTTTTCAGAGGTCCCCATAGCTGGGGAAGGATTTTGGGGTCTCTTGGAAGTAGGAGACCTGGTGTGAAACTAGAGTCCTGCCTTTGTGTTGTGACATTCCAGTCTGACTTTTTCTGTCCTCCCGAATCCCCCCCCCCCCTTATCTCTTTCCTCTCAAGACTGGGCTCACTGTGAACTAATTAGGTGGCAGCAAAAACTCATTAAAATGGATCTGAGTAAATGGCCTGAATCACTGCAGTGGCTGGGGACTGGGAGGAGGCATTTGTGTGAGCCTGGGGCCCCAAAGAGAAGAGATAGCCAATTTTTCCTTCTAGATCTGAAGGGAATGGGGTGGGGAGAGACACCATTTGCTGCAGCTTCACTGTCCCTTAAAGGAAGTAAAGAAATTCCTGATAAATTCCAGGAAGCTTACCTCCCCCCCCCCCTCCTTCTAGAGGGTGAAGAGACCTGGTGGGCCAGCCCAGGAAAGTGAGGGCAGAGGGCCTGCTGGTTTCTCCTTCCTAGTTTAGGCTTCTCTGTTGGGAGCTTTCTGTGATGAGAAGGCCGTGCACTTGGGTTTTTGGGTTTCTGGTTTTTTTTTTTTTGGGGATAGAGCCTCAAGCTGTCACACTGGGTAGAGTGCTGTGGCATCATAGCTCACAGCAACCTCAAACTCCTGGGCTTAAGCGATTCTCTTGCCTCAGACTCCCAAGTAGCTGGGACTATAGGCACCCGCCACAGCGCCCAGCTGTTTTCTTGTTGTAGTTGTCATTGTTGTTTTG